CGTTACATATGGTCATTCTTATTATGATCATACCACATAGTCATATCATTACATTTTTTAGCATACGTACAGATATACACATATAGAGACATTTTGAATTAATGTGGTATCCTGATTAGTGTGGGGGGCCCCCCCCCCCCCCAAACTAAATCCACCCCCGCAATAGTGTCACCAAAAAAAGGGACCCCCCCACCGGCTCCTCTTCATTTCCTCTTCGCTCCTCTTCCCTCTCCTCTTAGGTAATTAAGCTCAGGTAAGCTCAGATGAGCTCAGCTCAGGTAAGCTCAGGAAAGCTCAGGTAAGCTCAGTAATTAAAGCTAAAGGTAAGAAAAACTTTACTTTATTGTGGGGGGGCAATCGAATTTTTGTCTCCTGAATAATTTTTGGAAAACTTTTCATTATTGGAGGGGTCCAGACTAATCAGGATACGACATTAACATGTATATACACATATATATATATATATATTTTTTTTTTTTGATTTTATGTAACTTATGTATGTATTTATTTGGGCTGCCGCCTATCCCCCCCCCCCCTGCTTAGCCAGTGTCTTCATACAGTAGGCAGTGTTTCAGTGTCTTAATACAGTAGCCTAATGGCACAGCCCCGTCTATAAATACAGCTACTGTTTATAAACACAGCCCCTGTTTATAAACACAGCCATTGCTTATAAACGCAGCCACATCAAACATCTAAAAACCCTACCACCCATAAACGCCCAAACCCAGGTTGGCTGAATGAGGATGTACAAGATGTAGGCACCTTGGATGTTCAGAAGGTGTGAAAGATCCAGATGACATGCGCTTTTACAGAAGCATGCACGCTTTTGAGCTCGAGTTTCCCCACTCTGCGCTGATATGCCCCTCTCAGTCTAGCTTTAACAACTTGTTCTTGCAAGGTCCACCATTCGCCATTCTTAACCCGTGAAACACAGAAGACATGCTGCTTCCCACATTGATGTAGAAGATATACTCGTCCATTTCACACGTGTTTAGTTGAAGCTTGTTGTACCGCATCCTGGACCACTTCTTCAATCTGTTGTTTTCTGACTCAGCATCGTTCGTGTGGAAGCCGGTTTGGGGGTCTCTGAAGTGCTTCTCGTGTTTTACTGGTGGTGCGTGATGATAACCCAGTGCTTCCACGGCCTTGAGGGTTGAGGTCCACCCATCGAAGATCAAGTAGGAGCCTTTTGCCACGTGGGATTGGACGGTGTCCTGGATCTCCTCAAAACCACGTGGCTTGTTTTTCATTGCCTTGGTTGATGAAGGGAGAAGCCTGTATGTGACTTTCTTCTGCTTGTTGTCGTGGGTGAAGTTCTTCTTCTTGTTGCCTACGCAAACTCCCAACCAGAGCCACGCGCCGTTCTTCTTCAGGTTGGCAGCCTTGGACTTCAACCGTTTTGCTGGTGCTCGAGTGGACGCAGGCTTTTTCTTCAGTGAACCCGATGGTTTCTTGAACACGGAAGACGGCTTTTTCATGAGGCGTGAAGCTGGTTTTTTGTTGATGAGCATAGGAGATGTCTTGGAAACCTTCTCGACACCGTGAAGTGTGCGGCCCGGCAAGCGCTTCATAACCTTGTCGGCGACGAGCTGGTCGATGTTTTTTCTTTCCGAAGTTCGGTTTTGTGCCGCACCGCCCTTGTTGATACCCTTGGAGCCAGTAGCCCAACCATCTTCTGGATGTACTCCGACCACACATTCATCTAGCACCACCGTCTGGTTTTTGCCCCCCACTACACGAGCGTTCATTTTGTCGAGAGCAGCTCCTAAAGCCTCTTGGTAAACATTGCGCCATTTGCCAATAGTATGCTCCTTGATGTTTCCATATCCGGCTTGGATTTCCTGCACTATGGCACGGAAGTTTCGCCCCAACCGAAGGAGGTTGATCACGTGAAGGAAAGGGAGCCAACTGTTCACTGGGATCTCTGTCAGAAACCCAAACTTGTTCAGCTGGATCTCCATGTGCTTGTGACCCACGGAGCAGCATGTCCATCCATAGGTCGTCCATCCTCTGGAGGATCTCTGCTCAAAGCGAGATTTCTTGCCACATTCGGTGCACTTTGGAATTTCCATGGCGACGCCATACTTGAGAAAGATACCTACAGCTCGTATAGGTAGCGGTACCAAGTGACCGTGCCCATCAAGTACGCGGCGTTGCACAACGTACTTGTTGAATGCAGTGTCGGTGGAAAAGCAACTCTCATCCATCCCGTTCAACCAGTCGCCGAAAGAAACATCAGGGATCACCAAGGCATGAAGCCCATCTTCTCGCTGTCGCTTGGGCATGGCCCTCACACTAAGCGTCCAGACTTTCGGCCTTTAAGTTGAAGTATACCGAACTGGAAGGATCTGCCTATGCCCCAAGATGAAGACCTGACCGAAATTCCCTTCAACGCTTTCCTCGATATGGTAACCCCAGCCTTTGCAGACGAGTGTGGACGGCAAGATATCATGGCTTTATACCGAACTGGAAGGATCTGCCTATCCAGAGGTTCCAAATTCGACTTTCTGCCTTTGCAAAGCTGCTGGCAATTGCATGTGGCCTTAAATGTGTGGAGATGTGCTGCTCGGGCCAAGGAGAACGACTGAAGCGCTCAAGTTTGAGTGCGTTGCTATATGCGATTCCATCAGTGCAAAGCAAAAGATTACATGAGCCTGACGTATGCACATTTGTTTTATCCACACGCGCACCTCATCAAAATCGTGGATGTTCCCATCTGTCGCCTGCCCAAGAGCCTAATGATGTTTTTGATCCGGCCTTCTACCAAAACTGTGGTCAATTTCCACATACACTCGCACTACCGGCATCAATGCACTCACTCTGCTGGCTCCCCTACCGCAGGCATGATGTCGCTGTCATTCGAAGCCACATCCATATCGTCCCCGAGGGAGGAGCGCGCGCGCTTTCTTGAAGAAGAAGACGTGGCCGCCACGGCCCTTCGAGCGGGGGAAGGCGTGGAAGGAGTACAAAGATCCACCGGTTCTGCAGAACCGCTCAACAAGCCGGGAAAGGCCCTGCTGTCAGGGATTTCCTCCTTTACCAGCATGGCCGGGGCGCGGGGAGCCTCCTGGCTGGGCGGGCGAGCCTGGGCCACTTGTGCAAAATGAGCTTGACATACTCTTCCACTGAAAGGGAGAGTGGGCTTTGTCTCACGTCGAGTGGGCTCGGATTCACTGTCAAATGGAGAAGGTTGCTCGATGATCACCATGGTGCGCGGGGGCTTCTGGTCAGACTCCATCAGCATTGTGATCAGGTCATGTGACCATTGCCGTTTGTCAGCCCAGTCCACTGGAGGCGATTTGTTTCCAGCCCTCATGTGCCCAATGACCTTCCTTCCTTCAGGGCTAAGGAAATCTTGGATTCCGTCGGTGTAGTGGATTCGACGAACTGGGTCAGTACATGTGCCTGCACGTCGAAGGTAGACGCCATATTTCATGTTCACAATCCAATGTGCCCTCTTCAAGCAAGCCATCATATCTTGCCGCCCACACTTGTCTGCAAAGGCTGGGGTTATCATATCGAGGAAAGCGTTGAAGGGAATTTCGGTCAGGTCCTCATCTTGGGGCTCGGCATCCTCATTGACGCGGTTGTCACAAATGATCCTTAGCTGGTGCTGGACGAAGCGTGAGGCGGTCCACCGTTCCACTGTGTGTGTCTCTACCAAAGTCGAGTCAAGGAAGCTCTTCAGCTTGGAGATTGGTACCTGGGAGGTGTCGGGATCGTCGAGAATGTCCGGTCTCTCTTTGCAACCGGACTCTCCCCTGAGTTGGTCAAGTGAACTGCAGAGTCTGAAAGAGGGGTGTGCGTTTATGTTTTCCTTCAAGATGTAGTACTCGCTAAGGGCCATGGAAATGGCCTCTGCCACTGGGGTCTTCCCCTTCTCGGCGAACCCCATGAAGACTAGCGTCTTGCTCTGCAGGTCCCCAAGAATCTCCATCAACACATCATCAAGGAACCAGCCCGCCACGTCGTGCAGGGTCAGGTAGTAGTCAGTGATTGGGGTGGAGAAGACGACGGAGTTGGAGTGCCCCCGAAGACATTCCTTGACCAACCCGGACGACCAGCCAGTCAGGGGACCTTGGGGCCTGTTGACCTCGATTTCGGCCCATTCAGTCTGTTGATTGCCGATGTTGGTCCTGGGGCCATGCTTTCGTATGTAGTCGAACCCCACCTGAAGGTCACTGGGCTCCCGCCTCTTTTCCTCCTTCGGCTTGCCAGTGATGCGATGGTAAGATGCTATCCAGGTCGACATGCGTTCCAACATAAGCTGGAGAGCAAGGGGGCCATACTTGTAGCAAGGTGAAAAGTCGATGAGATATGGCTCGCCGTACACCATATCCTGCACGTTTTTGAGCGAAGGGGTTTTGGATTCGAAGGTGTAGTGCTTCAAGACTGTGAAAAGGGATTCACCAGTTTTCACCACAGCAATCTGCATCTTGTAATCAGTCCTCAGGTTCATCTTGGAGCGAAATGGGGCCGGCATGTTCAAGTAGTCGTTCTCCGACATACGAGCCTGAAGATGATCAAAATTCACAGTGTCTTGGTGAACATCTTTCACGACTTCTATGAGAATCTTCACGCGGGCTTGGTTGGTCAGCTCCTTGAAGGGTATGTCCTGGATCTGTCCGCTTGTTTGTTCTTGTCGAATGAACATGGGTGTACTGAGTTCGGCAAAGACGAGCGACTTAACCTCCTCCGTGGCTTTGATGTAGGCAGAAGGTGGATGAGACATGACGGCGACAGAGGAAAGCAAGGCGGGCGGCTTGGCGTCTATGCGTTTATAAACAGCCCCGTGCGTTTATAAACGTGTCTTTGTGGTGTCAATTTGCTGCGAACATGTTGTTATATTTCTTCGAAACAGAAAGCTGCAACACGCACATTGCAGAGCACATTCATGTAACGGCACGCATGTGGAAGAAGCAGAGCTGCGTCAAAGCACCGTTTATTTTCATATGCTAGCCTGTCGATGCACCCACCACCTCTGGGTATCTATGTACTGATCACTCAGCATCATCCCAAGCCTTCTTGGATTGCTCCACTGTGTGAAAAAGCTGTTTGACGATGCGCTGCCTTTTGGCGGATGCACCGGCCGATTCTGCTAAGGAGCTCACCATAGCCCAAACATCGTGCCAGTCTGAATCCCACCGTGACGTATCCACCTTACCCTTGGAAGAAGAAGCCCGTGACGTATCCACCTTACCCTTGGAAGAAGAAGCCCGTGACGTATCCACCTTCCCTTTGGAAGAAGAAGAAGACGACGAGGAGGAATCCGACTTGCTTGATTCTGATGAAGAGTCCGGGGCATCGTCTGTGGAAACATTTGGCTTGGGTGTGTCCGGCTCATTCACGGCAGCATTCGGCTTGGGCGCGTCCTCTATGGCGAGCTGGTGTTGGCTCCTACCTTTCTTGCACTTCAAGAACCATGTGTAGAGTTTGGACTGAAGTGCATCGTTCCAGCCGCCGTTCTCTCCCCGCTCAAGGCCGCAATCCTTCTGGAGATGGTTGATGAAACTGAGGATCTGCCGTTTCGTGAGGTCTTTCTTGGTGCTGTGCACGGGGATTGCATTCGTCTTTATCTTCACTAACATATCGTTGATGTTTGGCACGGCCTGTCCCAAAAGACAAGAGGCAACTCAAGCAAAACAAACGTTACACTTTAACGCAACTTATACACTGTACACAAGACAAAAGGGCCTTGTCGACTGGAGATGCAGAAGAAGCGCTATGTGTCTGCCCGGCATCTTGCGGATCTAACGAAAGGTTGGTGAGACGAAGAACACACTTTCCATCAGCGACCTCCACAGTCCCTGCAACTGCGGCTCGCTTCATTCTGGACTCTAAACTCTAGCTAAACTTACCTGCGAGCTAGTCTGGAGCCTCGTGCGCATTGCACCAGCTGTTTATACACACCGACCCTGTCTACAAAACTGCGTGCATTCAGTAGTTTGACAGATGCCCTTTAAATGCAGCCGAGGCGCACTAAGTGGAAATATGCATATGGATATATATTCCAAAATATTTAGTGTACCTGTATACAATAAGAATAGTAAATATAAAACCTGTTTATAAACACCGACCCTGTTTATAAACACCGTGCCCCAACCAAAAAAGAAAAAACGACGAAGTCGTTGACGTCGAGTTGCCTGGGCAGGGGGCAAACAGGGTTTGGGACTAAGGAGTACAAGGGTATTTGTTCTCGTTTTTCTGGGGCCTATATGTACTACAATATACCTACACGATGCGGGTGGAAGCTCCACCTTTTCATACAACACATACACCCTACATACACACACAGAGGGTTTAGGGTTTACAGATAGTGCCAACGCAGCAACGAACCAATGAACCAATGAACCAATGTACCAATGTACCAATGATCTGGGCCCATGATTGGTGCAAAGGACGACCCAGGACCCAATGTACCAATGTACCAATGATTTGGGCCCATGATTGGTGCAACCATGACCCAATGTACCAATGTACCAATGTACCAATGATTTGGGCCCATGATTGGTGCAAAGGACGACCCATGACCCAATGTACCAATGTACCAATGTACCAATGATTTTGGCCCATGATTGGTACAAACGTCCTATGTACCAATCATGGGCCGAAATGATTGGTACATTGGTACATTGGTACATTGGTACATTGGTTCATCCTGTGTACCAATCATGGGCCGAAATGATTGGTACATTGGTACATTGGTACATTGGTACATTGGTACATTGGTACATTGGTACATTGGTACATTGGTGCATCAGTTCATCCCGTGTACCAATCATAGGCCGAAATGATTGGGACGTTGGTACGTTGGTGCGGTTGGGGTTTTGTCCCAATCATGGGCCGAAATGATTGGGACGTTGGTACGTTGGTGCGGTTGGGGTTTTGTCCCAATCATGGGCCGAAATGATTGGGACGTTGGTACGTTGGTGCGGTTGGGGTTTTGTCCCAATCATGGGCCGAAATGATTGGGACGTTGGTACGTTGGTGCGGTTGGGGTTTTGTCCCAATCATGGGCCCAAATGATTGGGACGTTGGTGCGGTTGGGGTTTTGTCCCAATCATGGGCCCAAATGATTGGGACGTTGGTACGTTGGTGCGGTTGGGGTTTTGTCCCAATCATGGGCCCAAATGATTGGGGCATTGGTACGTTGGTGCGGTTGGGGTTTTGGCACACAACATCGAGCGCAGACAAAGAGCAAAAGACAGAATTTGCAGAAAATGCAGGGGGGGGGGGGATAGGCATGTACCCATTTATTTATCCACACTGACACGTACATCTCTCTCTCTCTCTCTCTCTTTCGCTCTCTGTCTGTGACTGTGTCTGTGTGTGTGTGTGTACACTGTGTACACCCTGATGCTAACCTATATAAGGGTTGCGGCAGAACATCTGATTGGCACGACTTCGGTGTTGCAACAATTTTTCCGGCAGGGAGGCACAGGGTGAGAAGAGGACGCTCTTCTTACCTACCTGCTTTCAAGCTGATGTGCCGTAGCTTGCAAGTCGCAAGTAACACACTCGCTGAGCATTGCTTCGCGTCGACCCTCCAATCCATGATCCCCAGAAACAAAGCTCATTGAGGCACTGCTCCGTCCGTCTCTGTGTGTGTGTGTGTGTGTGTCTCTGTCTCCGTTCTCTGTCTGCGTCTCTATCTCCGTTTCTGTCTCCATCTCCGTCTCTGTCTCTCGCTCTCTCTCTCTCTCTCTCTGTCTCTGTTTCTTGTCTGTGTCTGTGTGTGTGTGTGTATCTCTGTGTCCCCGTGTCCCTGTGCCGGTGCATGTGCGTCTGTCTGGAACACGGGCGCATACGGGCGCAGTGCAGGATGCTCACGCAAAGATCGGCGACCTTGAGGCTGAGAGCTGAAACCCGGTTAACTTCTTGCTGGATTTCCTTTTTGGACGTCTCCAATTTGTGTCGTGAGCAGCTCAGGCGGACCGTGACAGCAGCAAGCGCCTGGCTCAGCAGCCACTTGGATGTCTTAGCTGGTCAGCTCGGCTCGGTTCAGCAAAGCAAAATACCGAACGAAAGCATATAGAAGTTTATTGTTAATTGTTAACGCAATGTTGCCAAAACGGAGATCGAGGTGTGCAGCCCTCTCCAGCGACCCTTGGGCCAGCACGGTGTTCTGAATGGTGCTTCAGGGTACAGTACCATCAACATTGATGTGTGTGTGTGTGTGTGGGTGGGTGTGGGTGGGTGGGTGTGGGTGGGTGTGTGTGTGGGTGTGTGGGTGTGGGGGTGTGGGGGTGTGGGGGTGTGGGGGTGTGGGTGTGGTGTGGTGTGTGTGTGTACCCATGTTGACCAAGGACTTGCAAGCAGCCAGGCGTCGCGCTATTGATGCCGAGGCCAGAGCACGCATCAGAAAAACTGGGCTCTCAATACGCCCGACGCGCCAGTCGCAGCTAGCAGCCGCCCAACGTGGAGCAGAGGCGCGCGGCGAGGCCACATGGAGCCACCTGCATGACGGGCTCAAAAGAGGAAGAGACGGGAAGAGCAAAAAAGAGGTTCTCTGGTGCTGCCCCAAGAATGTAACTACAACTGCACTTGCGACCCTTTGAAGCACTGCAGCGCCTGCAATGCTGCAATGGCACTGAGAATTGTGTGCACCGGCCACCATAGGCTCAAAGAAGACTCTCGATGATCCTCCGAGATCTTCAGTGCTTTGCCAGGATTTGCGCTGTGCTGCCGCCAAGGCAGCTGAACTCGAGGCGCAGGGTTGCCTCGAAACTGATGAGGGCTTTAAACGAGGGCGAAAGAGAAGCTGGTAATGGGCGCCTGAATGTAAAGCTGTTCAACCCACGCGCCGCCACGAGACATGCGAACGTCTTCACACTCCTAAACAGATCCTACAGTGACAGGCGCAATTCGAGCAGCGCCTATCGGAGGAGCAACGTTCCTGGCCTGCATCCAACGTCCCAGACATTGCTGTCACTTGTATCCCGACTTCGGCGAACTGTAACAGAAGATTTGCCCCCTGCAGTGCTGCCAGAAGACATGCATTTTTAACACTGCATTTGTCGGGTCAGGCAGGTGGATCTAGCCGAATCTAGCCTCTGCCCAAGTCCCCCAGCAAGGTGTGGCGGCCGAACACGCGGCTCAGCTGGCGTTGCAACTGCGTGCCAAGTGCGCTGAGACTGCAGAGCTCGAGGCTGCGTTGGCAGCCACACGCAGCCAGAAGCCAAGCGGTTGGAAGACTTTCTTGAATCTAGGCACAGTTCCGACACCTTCGGGAGGCTGCCGAACGATCCATAAAGTTGCAACTGCGAGGTTGTAAGCCTTTCATGGCCACACCTGGAAACAAGATGGCACAGAGAATCCTAAAGTCCTAAAGTTTCTTCAGGGTGAGAAGACGGCCCCTTGCACTGTATCCTCGAGACCACTCACTGTCACTGACAGGCGCTGGGCTGTAAACTCAAAAGCAGGTCTCTTCAAATTTGCAAAAGATGGTAGGCTGACCTTTGCAAGAAAGCAAGCTGGGACCCGAAACAACCGCAACGACATAGGTTTTCCTCCGCTAGGACGCTAGGCTAAGTTAATGCAATGAGAAAGAAGCACAAGCTCCTACAAAAAGTTGCTCTGACACTTTTCGCGGACCCTTGCCTGTATCACTGTTTGGAGCTTAAGGGTCCCGCGTTGTAAACTTGTTCATGTGATCTGGTGGAGTGATGGTGCTGTAGCGCGGGTTCAAAAAAAGGGTCCCATGCATGACAAGACGGCTGGCTGCTCTCCCATTGTGCAAAGGCACATGCGAAGGTGAGATTCTTAAGAGAGGAGATGGTTGTCGGTGAAAATCTATACACCCATTAGACCGTGCATGTTCGCCAAAAGTACCGAATGCGCGTCGCGCCACTACAGCATAGCAACAAGCTTTGCTGCAGCTTGACAGCATAAAGCAAACATCGGATTGTCAAGAGGCAATACGAGACGGTGTTCAGCAAGACGGGTGTTTTTCCGAAACTGTATGTGTGCAAGCGTCGTAGCTGACTCGAGAATGTGGAATTCGCCTCTCGCGGCCCATGGGCACCAAGGTGAACTGGACAAGCTTCAGCCAGCGTTCGAGCAGGATGGGCACAAATCTTCCAGATTTCACCAGGCTCAGCATTATGTGCAAGCAACGTCGGTTTGGGTCCTACCTACTGTTCTCGAAAAATGATAGGAAAGGATGACCCAAAAGATAGCCGTTTGCTTTTTCGCTCCTCGAGTCCAGGAGCTCAGTGCTGAGAAGGCCAAGACAGTGAAGCTGGAGGCCTTGGAGTGAGGGGGGGGGGGGGAAGGGGGGGCCCTTCGGTCACTGTTAAATTCGGGGTTCATCCCCCGACCTTGACTTGGCATTGCTTAGAGGAGTCGTCGGATTCAGACAGTTTTGTGGGGGCCTCCGAGCTGAAAGGCCGCACTTCAAGCAAGACTGGCGAAGCTGGAGCCTTAGCGACTGTAAGAGGCAGTTGAACCGCGTCCACCCCTGCACCCCATAATCCCCCCCACCCGCCCCTAACCCGCCCCCTGCAGCTGAGGCAGGTTGCCAGCAAGGAGGCAGGGGGCGGTGCGAAGATGAGCAACCAAAGCACCGTCAAGCCAACATTGTGCCCTTGCGTCAGAAGGTGCAGACGGTGCAGGATGATGACTCGCAACAGGTGCAGGCAAGGTACTGGGGCATCATGACATTTTTAGATTGATCACAGACCCAGCCAGCAATGAGAGAGCGGATGGAAAGCAGAAAACAAAGGAGACCAATGGCGAAGTCCAGTGGCGCATCCCCAGTGCAAAGCTAACTTAGAAACAGTTGTTTCATGCCTCACCTGAGGGTTTGAGAGAGCTTGGCGTCATTCCCC